TGTATTTGTGAATATTTTTATCATTGTTATAGTACCAAAAAAATAATAAAAATAGTAATCATAACAGTGATAAAAACATCTATAAATGTGATAAAAACACCCACAAAAATAATAAATTTTTTTGTATGGAAGAAAAGTAATAAAAAAAAATATCACAATGTGATAAAAATACCCACAAAAGTTATAAATCACCTATAAAAGTGATAAATTTTTATGTTTGTAAAATGACCCATAAAAATTATAAAATATCTTTTAAAATAGTAAATTTTGGAGGTATGGTAACAACTTTATTTTTTTGTCTGTACAATAGTCAAATCCACAAGAATCTAACGTATTAATTGAATATGTCAAATTAAGATTAATTAATCTATATCTATATCTATACTACTATAAATTGTCAACAAAAGTGAAAAATTTTGATTGACTATGATAACTTTAATAAAATATTTAATGCCCTTGCTATCCAACTTTTCACATATAATAGAAAATTATACTATTTATAATTGTGGGAGTTGGGTAGAGTATTGGACTTTTGTAATTAACAAAGAATAATGGATAATTCCCATTTTTCAAACACAAATTATAATGTAATCCTCCAAGCTGCTAAACTTTTCAACTCCACACTCCACACTCCACCGGTCTTCCTCCTCCTGCATCTCATTTTTACTCTTTGTTATATGTGCCTACTCAGGCCAACATTCTCATTTCACCTTCCTGTATTCAGCCATTGACTTATTAGGTAATCCCTCAATCTTCTTCTGTCTCTTGCATTTTAGGTTCACACCCTCTCTCTCCCTACCTCTTTTCTTTTGCATCTCCTGATTGTTGGAGATTAAAGTAAGTTAGCCCCTGAAAAACAATCAAAAGAGTCTTCTGGTATATTATCACACTGAATTCAAAGGAGGGTTGATTCACCATTTCTGGGGGGAAAAGAAATTAACCTAAAACTTTGATTCTTCACATTTTTAAATCATTTGCCAAACCATTTTTGAGACTGCAACGAAATTTTTGTTTTGTTTTTTTCTTTTGGGCATTTGTATTTGTTTGGTGGACATAAAAAAATTTATATTTTATTGATAAATCATAATTAGGAGCATGTCAATCAAATATTGTATTTAGGCCCTTCTAAATTAAACCAATTAATTGTTAGTACATTTAAGTATTGCAAATTATTTTGATTTGTTCAACAGGTTTGCTTCAGCATTTGAGATATATATCTGACATAATCCTATGGATTATCTAAAAGATTTTTTAAAGTAATTTAGCCTATCTAAAATCAATGCTTGATGAAGGGAAAGGAAGATGGCATGTGTGTGTGGATTGAAAAAAAATTAGATTTTCAATTTAGTCCCTCAAAAAAATATTATATTATTAGCCAGATCCTCTCTTACAACCTCAACTTTGGTCTTTTTGATTCTCAATTTAACTGTGACTAACATCATTAAAAAACAACATATTCTCACCTTTGATTTTTTAATTTTAAATTTAAATTTAAGTAATATTGTAAAAAAAACATATCTTTCACTCTCTACCTGAAATTTATAAATTATATATAAGTCATATGAAAATCATGTACTTTGTTTTCTTGTCCGTAATTTACGAGTCATATATTGCGTTATTATAGATTCAATTAATCTTTTCAAATTCTTTTCACATTTTTTTTAAATCACAAATAGCACAAAAACTGTATCCAAAGTCATTTTTCTCATGTTGCTCTCATCAGGAACAAACAAACTTACAAATATATATCACAAATAATAAAAAATGCTTCTCTTTACCAAAAAAAAAAAAACACACTTAAATTTCTCTCTCTTTTTTTTTTTTTGATTTATTTGTTATATAATGATGTTTCATTCTTCTTGTAGATCCATTTGTAAGGTTTTAGGATTTTTTTATCAATTTTTTTTAAAATTATAGAAATTAATTGTTATGAACCGGGGCGAAGATTAAAATTTACCCACAGGCCAAGGACGGAAATTAAAATTTTTCCGCTTACGGGGGTAGTCAGGGTGGATAAATATTTTTGAAGTAGGTACAGGAGTGGAGATTATTCCCCCGTCTCCGTGCTGATCCACTTCCATTCTTAGTAGTGAGTTTTAATAAATTTTAAGACTCACAATTAAATTAGGGGCAATGATTAATTATATCACCAACCAAAATAACACAATTCAAAAATAATAATATAAAAATAACACGACACGTGTAAATTGACATCGCTAGAGTGATGTTGCCTTAAAGGAGTCATGTATATTTGGTGCGATTTTATAAATAGCCTAAAGTCACCTATATATGGGTTTATGGGCCTTCAGTGGGCCTTAAACAGGCTGAGGTTCAATTAAAAGTCACAAATATGGAAGTTCAATTGGACCAAAATATAAGCTCAATGTGCTGCTCAGCCCATCCCCCACTGGTACAAACCAAACCCTAGTAGCTATACCTATATAAAGTTCACAATCCGTAGGGTTTTACATTTCTCATCAACACGCACTTCACACGCATAGTGGAGAGAGAGAGAGAGAGAGAGAGAGAGAAAGGACGGAGCAAAGATGCCGGCGGGTCATGGTCTTCGTGCACGAACACGTGATCTTTTCTCGCGTGGGTTCAGGAAGAAGGGGACGATCCCTTTGTCGACGTACCTGAAGATCTACCACATCGGAGACTATGTCGACGTCAAGGTGAACGGTGCTGTCCACAAGGGTATGCCCCACAAGTTCTACCATGGCCGTACTGGTCGTGTCTGGAACGTCACCAAGCGCGCCATCGGTGTCGAAGTAAACAAGCAGGTCGAATTCAGATCTCTCTATCATCTTTCCGAGTTAGAGTACGTTTTGTAGTGGAAGTTAGGGAATATTATGAAGTGTTTGATGTTTTATATGTAGAGAAATGGCGGAATGTGGAGATAAATGATGTTTGATAAAATTGGTTTTTTAATAATCGTGTACATGTTTTGCTGTACGTATACATGAATGATTGACTGTACAGATAATATAGGGGGCTAGTTTGGGTTAAAAATGGAACTGTATGTCTAGGTATACTCTCGGCACTGTATATATGTAGATGGGCTTTTGTTTGTTTCTGAAGGTGCTTGATGGTTTATTTGTGAAGAAATGATGGTTTATGCACATGGACTTTCTATAATTTTATCATGTAGGCCAATTTGTGTCTATTTTGGGATAGTCTATGTATTGAAAAAATTATGGTTATGCATATGGATTTTCTATAATTTTATCATGTAGGCCAATTTGTGTCTGTTTGTCTTGTGGTAGTCTATGAGAGACATACAAGTCACATGCAATAATTTTGGGTTCTGAGTTCTGAACATTGTTTTAGTTTTTATGGAAACATATAGATATGTTCTGTTTGCTCCTAAAGCTCCATTGGGGTTTTAGCTCTTACGTTTTTGGGTGTGCTATGTGTTTTACCCTATTCAGTTTTCACTGGAGGAATAAAAGAAGTTGTCGTTTTAGTTACCTGCTTAACGCTGGCCCATTCTTTCATGGAGATCAATTAGAAAAAAATTATGAACACGATATTTGTACCGTACAATGCCTCAACCTTTACTCAGTAGCTTTTCTCTTCCTTTGATTGTGGTACTGATTTTAAGAAACAGCTTAAACTTCTAATTTGTTTTGCTCTCCGAGCAGTTCTTATCCAAAGTTAACAATTCCTACTGAGTTCCAATATCACTTGGTTGATGCTTGTCAAACTTAAGTTCAGAATAGTCTTTGTACAAGATAATAGAAAGCTATGGGTGATGAGATCGTTAAAATTGCAACCAGAAAGGATCAAATGTACTGAAGCCAAAAGGTCTCAACAATGCTGATCCCTAATTTGGACTGCACCAAATTTAAAAGTGTATTCCTGAACGGCAATTAGAAGGCATTGTTATTGGGGTAACTTATTCCGTAAGCCTCGTAGATAAATGACTCTCTCGAGTTTCGATCCAATGCATTCCCACACCTTAGAACTGGTAAAAGGGGCAGCAATGATAATGAGGCTCAGGTCTGTAATAGGGCGTAATTGAACATGAGTTTGAGTTTTGGCATGCCAGTGATTTGGTGGTGTTATGGTGCCGACCTAAATGTAACGAATATTCTATAGCACTCCTTTTCTTCTGCAAGCCTGAAAGCCTTTTCCCTGGCCAAGTTTACTGACTGAAATGCTTTTCAGACTGCCTTATAATGTGTCAGCGTAATATGTTTAGAATGACCTATAAAGTTGCTCACTCAATATGAGATTAATATCAAATTGAATGAAGTTGTCTCACTGCAAGTATTTATAGCTGGTGGATATTTTTTTATTTTTTATGTAACTTGCATTTGTGAATAATGTTCACCTTGTGCTGTCTTTTTTGTTTATTGTTTAGCACATAAGACACTTGATTTTGAACCATTTTATGACATTTATGAGAACAATGAATTACCCTCTTTGCGGTTTTATTGAATTGATTGTGGCATAACTTTGTGGGTTTTCATATGCTGGTAACTTGATTGAACTAAGCTGTGCTGCACGTACATGGATCCAGGTTGGCAACAGGATCATCAAGAAGAGGATCCATGTTCGTGTGGAGCATGTTCAGCCTTCCCGGTGCACAGAAGAATTTAAGCTGAGGAAGAAGAAAAATGATCAATTGAAAGCTGATGCAAAGGCTCGAGGTGAGATCGTCAGCACAAAGAGGCGGCCAGAGGGCCCCAAACCAGGTTTCATGGTTGAGGGTGCAACTCTGGAGACTGTAACGCCAATTCCATATGACGTGGTCAATGATCTCAAGGGTGGTTATTAATCAGCTTTTTCTGGATTAGTCTTGTTTGGTTTATGTGTTGTGAACGTCTGAAAACGGATTTGTTAATCTTTACAAGTGGTCCACTGTAGACCTTTTTTTGGGCGATGTTTTGTTTTGCAATTAGTAGTGAAACTTGGTTACTGAAATATTGAATCCAATGAATCTAGAGATTCTCTATAAAATTGTCATTTGTGTTCCCTTTTTTTCCCCAATGTCAGGAAAAAAAGTTGTGCAGAGGTTTGAGCATTCTCCTAGAATCATCATCATCCATGCCATAAAGCATGACGAAACATTGTAGCTACTGTTGTTTGTGTTGTTGGATTTTTGTTCAAAGAGGTTGTAAGGTATCTTTGAGGGGCAAAAGATCCTTTGCTGTACAGCACTCAAAAAGATGTCACGTCAAATATAAAATGATGTCGTTTTGTGTGGAGGAGCTCCCCGGCCTTTCAAGAGCTTTGGGCTACTACTATTGGTGTTGAGTACACGATTTAATCATTCAATATGTCCATGTTGCTGGGAGTTGCAAATGTATGACATTGTCATTTAAAGCGCAAGTGTGTTAGTCATATTTTTTTATTGGGCAGTACAACATATCCAGGCCACCAATGGTGTTTCTTCAAATCATTGCAAAGCTCTGCTAATGCATTCTATGCTGAGAATAATAGAAATAGAATTCCTACTGCTTCATTCATCTTTCCCCGAGTATGAACATGAAGCTGCACAAATAGTTGATTGACAACAGGGCACTAGGAGGATAATTTTTAACACGAGAAATTTAAGCGTTCGATTAATGCGAGTGGAAAATACGTTGTGTCAGTGTCAAACAAATTCTATTTTGACATGATATGATGAAGATGGTATCAGAATCTTTTGCCTTTTTTTATTTTTTAATCAAATTTTAAAATGAACATTAAATGATTTTTGATTTTACATTTATAGTATGTGGATGAAGGAGATTTTTTATTTATGAAAATTTGCAATACTTGATTTTTTATTTACGAAATTTATGTGTGGTAGATTTGGTATAAGAGAAAAGAATTCTAATTTTATTGTTCATAAATTATACAATCGAACACAATATGAATATGAAGTAAATCTCGGATACTTTGCACAAGCTTCTTTTGCTCCAAGCATGAGCCCTTTTCACCTTAGATTTGACAAAAACATCAAGCACACTTCTTAGAATTAAAATAACAATTCGAGAAGTAAAAGTTCAGAAATGGCATGGCATAAGGAGTGAGTACAAAGAAAAGAACTTGTGCCCAAGCAAAGGAACTTGTTAAGCTGTGATAAAGTGAGTTAGGGCTTCAAGATACTCTAATGAAAATGCCCTTCTTACTCACTCTTTCTTCTAAGACTAAACTCTTGAGAGACTTAAACTATAGAACATAAAAATTGTTATTAGAAAACATTAATGCACGTCGCAAGATTGGTGGGCTTGAACTTCTGGATTTGGATTGACTTAACTTTGAGATTTTTGTACTTACTAAAATACGAGAATTCTTATTCTATTTGTCAAGCATTTTGCTTTCAAATTTGAGAAATACGCCCGTTGGAAGATAATCCTCACATTTATTTAACTTATTACTACTTTACAACTTACTCCAGCTCTGAGAATAAGAATCTCCACCTTTGCATATATAGGGGCACTTGCCTTGACAGCAAGTTAAAAACTTTCAAAAGGAAAACTTGGATTTGGACCACCCAAATTGGAGTTTGGAGATGAAGGTGAAGATATCACATGCACTCTTATCCTTCCTGCTCTTGCTTATTGTCTCCTCAGGTCTCTCTCTCTCTCTCTCTCAAACACACACACACTCATTGGGACAAAGGGTATCTTTCATGGTTTAGAGATACAAAGCATAGTTATTGCATATGCAACAAATCTAAATACAAGAATAGTTAGGGACTTTGTCCAAGAAAAAAGCCCAGATGTTGATTGTCTCAATTTTGAATTTTGTCGTCAGTTTCAATCATCTATTATAAAATTAATGTGTTTCTTCTAGCATGTTTTTATAGGTCCACTAACACCCCGTGGGATCAAATGAAATTAACGATAAAATAAAATCATACCTCATAAGAAGATCTAAAAAATAAGTGGTAGAAAGCATTATTCTCATTTTGAAGAGGTTGATTATCAAACTTGCTTATGGTAGATCATCTAAACATGGGAGTATTTGTCGTCGCTATAGGTCTGACCTTGGCATCTCTTTTTTAAATTTGAGTTTGACTTTGATTCCTTTTTTTTCTTGACAGTTGAGGTTCCCGAGTCTCCGTCGCTCATGGAGCTCATGCTATAAGGATTCCAGAGCACACGTGTAGTAAACGAATCGGATGGAGCAAATGTGACTGGCAGAAATGCATTCGGAAATGCTCCAAAGAGTCTTCTGGCGTGGGGAAGTGCAGAGACGCCATTTGTGTTTGCACATATTATTGTAAGCAACCTCCACAGTAACACACAGTTCCCTCCATCCCTCTTTCTTTCTCTCTCTCTCCCCCCCCCCCCCCCTCTTCCCCAGACAGACATGAATGCAAAGAATTGAAGGTAGATGTTGGTAATTTTTTTTTTTTTCGACATTGATAGTTTGTTTTTCGACATTGATAGTTTGTTTTTTTCACCGTGTGCGTGTGTTTTGTTCTAAAAGATCATTTGGAGATGCGAAAGATAAAGGTTGTTGTTTATGCTATAGTGAAAAGGAAGGTGAATTCGTCTTTGACCGGACCGAAGAGAAGATTAATCAAGGTACAAACAAGTCGGTCTGAACACTTTTTACCGTTGAACCAAAAAAAAAAAGAGAGCTCATAGATTTAAAAAGCAAAAATCTTGGACTGAGAAATTCATTTTAATGCATTACAATTCTTAATACGACCACACAATATATTGGACATTATTGTAGTCTTAATAAGACTCGGGTCATTATGGGATTAAGTTGTGATACTTATATATTAAATGATTCAATACAAACCCTTTTATATACAGAGTGAACCGGACTATAAATTAGAGAGGTAAAGATTAATCAAGTTTTGATATGACAAGATTATGGATGGAATTTGAATCTCTCAAAGTCATAATTTATCAATCTTGGAAATTTGGATTCATTCAATTTCAATTTTTATCAAATAATTCGCTTGCCTCGAAATGACCTAGACTAATAGGAAAATCCCAATTCATTGGGCCTTTCGATACAATCAAATAGAAAATCCCAAAGGCGCCATATTCTAAGAGCCCAAACTATGTGATTGAATAAATCTTTCTCTATCTGGTGCGGGTCGATTTCAATCAACTTCAACCGTGTGATATTAAATCAACTAGGTCTCATAGGTGTTCATGGAATCCATAGAAACCTACTTGTATTTCACAGTGTAGAAAATAGGGACAATGCTATACCAACCACAAAATGAGATCGAAAGAAGGGATCATACGCTATAATTTAAATTTCATTTGTCATGTCAATATCACATCATTTAATTTTTATTTTTAATCTCAAATTTAATCTTATTCGGATGTGACTAACCTTCAAATACTCAAATCGGAGTTTGTGAATCGAATTAAGTTTCATAGGAGTCACAATTCAACTCGAATCTGATTGATTGACATCCCTATGCTTGGCAAGACAGGATAAAAAAATTATACTGTTTTGAAAAGTTAACAAAAATTTAAAATCCATGTTTTTGATTGACATGTTGTGGTACACATACATCAAGCTCTTTCAAAGAAACATTTTTTTTTTACCATAGACTTAATTTTTTAAAATTAAGATTAATGGAGATACTTGAATCGGATTAGAATTGTGAATTTCAAAGATAAGAACTAAGTACGAAACCCATCAAATATTCAAATTGGAGTTTTTAAATTGAATTTAAATTCAGATCGATGATACTCACAGTTTTAATATCGAATATAAAAATAATACTATTTAAAAGTTTAACAAAACTTAATATCTGTACTTTTTATTGCTAGCCTTCTTTTTTTTGGTCAAGTACAATGTAAACGACGAGATTTAAACTCGCAATATTAAAGTTAAACAACAACATAGTGATTATTAAGGGCTCGTTTGGTAATATTTACGGTTTTTGATTTTCTAAAAAATAAAAAACATAATCAAAAAACGAAAAATGTCTTTTTCTCGTTTTTGAAAATCGTCTATCATTTACAAAACGACAACATGAAAAAAAAAATAAAAACGATTATCAAATGAGTTTTTTTTTCTTGTTTTCTCTAAATATAAAAATAAAAACAAAAAACTTAAACGTAACCAAACGAACCTAAGTTAACCACTAACCTCCTTTTTATTGGCAGCTTGGGGTACGTTTCAAGCTCTCCCTAATAAACATAATTGAGAGTGCTAATAATTAATTTAGGGTAAATTATATTTTAACCCTCTAAACTATGGACTCTATTTTACTTTGTTCATTAAACTATTAAATTTTTTACATTATCCCCTCAACCATGTTGATTATTTCACATTGCCCCCATTCGCAAACATCCGTTTTCGTTTTAGATGACAATTGCTGACATATCAAGGCAAAGTCATTTTTTTTAATGGAATTTAGGGGTAAAATGAAATAATTGTCCGTTAAATATGTAACAGACTTTAAAGATTGGGACAATGAAAAATTAATCACGTAGTTGAGGGTAAAAACGTATGATACTTGAGGAGTATAATTGAGGAGGTCAAAGCATTATTTATTCTAACACTTATTCAAGGCTACATACGTTGAAATTTCTAACTAAGCACTTGTGATATCAAATTCACTTAGCAACATTAAGTATCTATAGGTCTTTCATGTTTATTTGTTTGTTGTTAAGGTTATAATTTAATGGAATCATACACAAACACAGGTTTTATGGAAATATATTTTAATTATGATAATGATATATTATTAATTCGTCAAGCTGAATCCTTAAAGGGTTGAAAAGTTTACTTAAATAAGTTTCATGCAAGGTCGAATTAAACCAAATCCAGTTACAATAATAATAGACGCACATAGAAGCACACGAATGTTAGTCGTCACACATAGACAAAAGGTTTTTTGGGTCTGTCCTTAGCGAATGTACAATACAATCAGGTGGTTCATCAAGAATAACTAAATCAACATACTGATTCATGCCTTAGTTCGCAAGGCCATCAACGCATTGATTTCCCTCTCTGAGCGTATGTACCGCAGATTATGTTGAAGGAGTTGACGATGAACTTGCAATTGTCCACCAGGACTTTGAAAGGGTGGCTAGCTGATTGAGTTCCAGTTAGCAAATTGAAAGCTTCTAAGGAGTCAGTCTCTGAGATGAAGTTCCCACTCCTATCCAGAATTAGTTGTAGACCTTGTTGGCTGGTCCAGAGTTCTGCTTTAAGACTTGAGGTGTGATTAATTCTGCAAAGCAGCGTGACACCAAAGAATGATAATGCAAAAAAATTAATCATTCGGGGGATAAATTAATTTATTTTTTTCTCTTTTTCATAGAGTAAAATGAGATTTTATATTCTTATTATTTTTTTTTTTTTTTGTAAACGAATGGAATACAATGAACAAGTAAAAAATCTTGTGAGAGGCTTTGAAGGTTATAAAAACAAAAAAAAAATGTTTATCTACCTTAAAAAAAATGAGAAAGAGCAAAAAATAATGCCTCCACGGGAAAAAATCGGATGTGATTAATAGCAACGTATAATATCATTTTATGTAAACGAATACGTATTTTGATATTTTGAAATTGAGTATAAAAGCTAATTTGATTTTTTATATTTCTTAGTAATTAGGAGGTTTTATCAGCTTTTTTTATTTCTTTATGTCCACTTTTTTTCTTTAATAGCTGTAAAAGATTGAATCCAAAGATAAAGATTAAACAAAAACTCCTTTTTTTTTTTTTGAAAAAAAATGCAAAAGTCAGAATTCAAAATGAAAAAAATGGAATTACTAAAAAAGAAAAACAACACAAAATGTTTAAGAAAAAAAGAAGAAGAGACAATAACACCAAAAATTCAAGTTCCTTCTATATAATGCCTCCATGTGTGCTATAAAAGTAAATATATATGTAACATATAAATAGGCTTTACCACCCAACCAATGATTCTCTTGTACTGTCTCACAGCTATCTGGATTGATTTTCACATGATCCAAAATCAAACGGTTCATCTTGTTTTAGATAGAAAATGTTCATTTTATAGTAAAATGCACCTTAGTAATGTCTCAAATTGGGGTAATATAAAACCAATAATTATTGTTAGAGATATAATGTGAAAAATATAATAATTGAGAGGGGAATGTGACACTAATAATCATAGTTAGAGGTGTAATACCCAAAACTTGATAAATGAAGAGGTAATGTAAGATTGAGACATAATTGATGAATTAAAGTGTAATTTAATCATTCATGTGAACAAGATACAAAAGTATAATAAATTTAGTCTGTCAAGAATTTTGTGGAAGAGAAAATGGGTGAGGATACACCATAGCGATGTTGTGTTGTTTGAGGCTTAAAGAGAAAATATTAGTCTCTTGGCAATCACACCTTAGTCTGTCAAGTGATTGAGACACAACATCACTATAAAATGTTCATTTTGTTAAAGTTAGGGGGGGGAGTCAAAAAATTTTATTTGGGTGGGCACTAACTAGAGAGAGAGAGATTATTGTATAGTGATGATGTTGTGTTGTTTGTGAATGGATCCGTGGAGGGTAACTCAAGGTAATTTGAGGCTTAAAGAGAAAATATTAAATGATATTTTTTTATTTTTAGTATTAAGTTTTTTAAAAAATTAATTAATTTTTAATTGTTTACGTTAGAGAGACACAGAAGAAGGATTGCCGAGAAAGAGGTTTTAATTTTAATTTTTTTTTTTTATCAAAGAAAGAGAAAATGGGTGAGGATAAATGCGAATTAATTTTTGAGTATTTTTTTTGTATTTTTAACTTCTAAGTTTTAGGTTTCTAATGTTATGAATTATATCAGTGCCCAAATTATTACAATAAAATTTTTTATTAGACTTAATTTTTTGGGACTTTTTTAAGTGCTTAAAATTTAATGGATTTAAATATTTTGTGAGCTAATAAAGTACCTAAAATTATATGGCTTTTTAAAATTTTGGGACTTAAAGCTTAGGCTTTATTTTGTGAAAATTGAGATTGAGTTCTCCTTAAGAGACTTAAAATGAATTTAGTCTGTCAAAAAAACTTATTTAGGGATAAGTCCGTTTTTAATTTTGCTAATAAGTAGTTAAGTTCACTATTTTTTTAAATTCCAAAATACCCTTCCTTGAAACAACTTTAAATTAGTTTCCTAACTTGAGAATTATTATTCCTTAATTCACTATCAATAAAAATATGCCAATAATTTTTTTTACATAAATTTGAAATTCAAATGCAAAGAACTAATACTCTCTCTCTCTATCTATCTATATATATATAATTTGTATCATATTACTGTTCATGTTACTTTTTTATGAAGTTGTTATTGCTCATGTTATTATTTTTGTGAGCATGTTACTACTGTTATTTTTTCAAATATTAATATTCAATACTATTATTTTTTGTTTTGAATATTATTATTTTTTTGTGTTTAAATGTTACAATGTTACTACTTTTTTTGTGTTTAAATGATACTATTTTTTATGTTTGAGTGGTACTATTTTTTTTGTTTAAATGTTACTATTTTTTTTTTATATTACTATGTGTGTGTATGTGTGTGTGTGTGTATATATATATATATATATGAGAGAAATAAATAATTATATTCTATATATGGACATAGACATAAGAGAAAGAATTTTAATGGTAGTTCAGCACCTAAAATTTAGGACTTGTTTATTTTTAAAATTTTTGTAATTAAACATAACTATTATGAATATTTTAGACAATGAAAATCAAAATAAACTTACTATTAAACAAATTTTCTTGATAGATTTATTTTAAAATAAGTCTGCAAAAGAAACCTGACTTTCAAATTTTCCCTTTATTTTCAATATTGTTGGGCCGGACCTTGAATTCATGAATTTCATGTCTTGCCAGAGAAGACACACAGATAGAAGAAGGGCTGAGAGATCGCTGGTAGAGGGAGAGGGAGAGGGAGAGGGAGAGAGAAAGACAGAGAGAAGAAGGGGTGTTGTCTGACGTAACACATGAGAGACTGAGAAATTTTTTTTGGAGATGAAGTTAATAAAAAAAAAATTGGTCAAAGGCATCATCAGCCTTCGCATGGACAAAGAATTGGTGGGCCCACTGATTTTTCTCTTTTTTATTGGATGGGTACAACTCTTTTACTTTTAAACAATCAAAATAAAATATACGAAGGTAATTTTAAATAAAAATTTCCAGAGTGGGCAAGTGCCCCCTCTTGCCCAGTAACAGTCTTGCCCCTGGTTAAAGATAAGAAAATTTTATTTAGTTTAACTCTGAAACTGGTGACAAATACGGAGGATAGTCGTGTTACAAAAGATAAAACATTAAAATCAGTGCATAAAAAATAAAATTTTGCATGAAAAACACATACTAGTACGAATTTAAGGTTGGTCAAAATTTAAAAAACTCAATTTGGTTAAACTAGTACTCTGAAGGGCGGTTTGATAACGCCACTTAATCTTTAAAATTGACTACTTTAAACATTTCATGAATAAAACACGTTTGCTAATTAAAACTCTTGCCACTTAACTATTTTAAACACTTTTTAAAAATATGTTAAAATTTTAAGTAGTAACCTACTTACTTATCACTTAAATTCTGAAAATATTAGTCAATAAAGATTTTATAAATTCTTTATAATAGATAAATATATCGTTAATACATTTTACGCTCTTAACTTTTCAATACTCACTATCCATTACAACCACCATCGTTTTGTTGTCGTTGCCACCACCACCATTGTGCCACTGACACTACCACTGCCATCTCCATTACCACCACCACCACCACCACCACAATGGTGGTGGTTGTAGAAATAAAGTACTTGCGGTGAGATGATTAAAAATAATGATAAAATTAAAATAATAATAATTTTTAGATTTCAACTCCTTATATTTGTCAAAAAATTTGATTCAATTAAATACTTAAATTTCAATAGAAGCTAAACTATCTGCGAATTAAAAAATTTAGCATTCAATTGTCACTATTCAACTTTTAATTTTATTTTTATTTATTTTTTAAGTTAGGAACTTTTGATTTTATCAAACACCACTTTAAAGGTACAATGTCAAAAACTTGATAAATAAAGGGGGTAATGTGAGATTGGGGCATAATTTTGAAGTCAACATGTAATTTATCCTATTTATATTTATACAACTACCTATAAGAAGGTTCATATGATCAAATTAAAAAAAAAAAAAAACACAAAATACTACGAACGATATACTCTCACCTCTTTCCGCGTCTCTGTAAAACCCTAACACACCAATCAATCGATCCCCTTCTCTCTCTTCAACCCAACTTTCTCTCTCTAAAATCAAACCTTTTATCTGTCTCTCTCTCTTCTATCTCTACTCTCCGATCGATCTATGCTCTTTAATTACTATACTTCATAATCAAATCCCTCCATTTTCTATCTATAACTTATAGGCTTATCTCTCTCTCTCTCTCTCTCTTTGTACAATCGATTTTTTTGAATTTCGTTGAAGGTTCTATTGTTCTTGGTTGAATTTCTCGAAATTTTGTTGGGTTTGGTGAGAAAGAAGTGCAAGGCTGGCGATTGGCGTCGAGGTCATGTGATGGCGGATCCGCCAGGTGTCCGCCTGCGGTTGTTGCTCGATTTGGCTTCTACAAGGGTCGTAGGACGATCATTTCTAAGGTTAGGGTTAGGGTTTGAGAGTTGTGATTGTGATTTTGTGGAAGAAGAGTGGGTCCAAGGATGCTGAGTGTGCTGAGAGTGCACCTCCCGTCCGACATTCCGATCGTAGGCTGTGAGCTCACGCCGTATGTGCTCTTACGCCGTCCCGACAAGTCTGTCAACACCGACGATGTTCCCGAATCCGCCCCACTAGATGGCCACTTCTTAAGATACAAGTGGTCAGTTACTGTTGTACTACTCCTTAAACCCGTTCTTCATCTGGTTGAGTTAATTTTGGGTTATTATTTGATTGTTTAGTTGTTTTTTCACTATTGTGATGTGGATTGTCTCCCTAAAGATTCGATTTTTGATTATTTGTTGATGCAATTACCTGACTATGTATTGATACTGCACGATTAAAATGTGCATTCATTAAATTAAGCTAATCTAGCAGCATGGTTAACGAAATGGCTGATGTGAAGCTCCTGATTGTTGATGCTTTAAACTACAAAAAGTGGGGTTTGGTTTGGGGGAAAATATTAGGTTTACAATAGTAGATGAGAGTATGATAAGACAAGAACTATAGAAATTGGTGAATGGTCTAGGGTGGATTATTTGGGAATTAAAAGCTAGATTTTAGAGAAAGAAAAGAGCTACAGAGTTAGTTTAAATTACAGAGAGGACCTCATTTAGAGTGCTAGAAACTCATGAGATTCAGAGTACAGACGGCTCTGGGTCACTGATTTAACAAGTGATATTAAAGGATCTGTATTTTTAGGCATATGTTTTCTTTGATTGGCTTAATTACCATATTGTTGTCAGGAGATTGTAGACCTGTTGATTATTGATGATATTTCGAATCATGGTCTGCACCCTAACTGGGGATGGATAATTCTTTTCTAATCTCATTTGACCACCTTTTTGCTTGTTTTTTTGAATTTCATATACAGTTTCCTACTCGTCTTTGACCTATTTTCACCTCCATAAAGGAAAGATTCAGGCCATTTAAAGCAATATAATCACTCTTTGGATGTAATCTGATATTGCTTTTCAACCTGAGATATTTTATATGTATGTGTAAACCAGGAGAACTTTTTTTTTTGGGGGGGGGGTTGCACTAAGGGAACAGCTCATGTCACAGTGTACATTTAGCCTTAGAATTATGCTTGTGCTAACAACTCATGGTGTAGTTACATATCAAAAGTTAAAATATCAGAAGAAAATTGTTCAATGCATAACTTATCAAAAGAGAGAAAAGAACCACTGGGCTGACACATGCTGATGCATTAGTTTTGTGACGTTGTCATAAGTATTGAAGAGATATCAAAACGATTTGAAATCAGTAGGATTTTGTATTTTGTGCAATACCAACATGTTGTCCTAAATTGGTGGTGGTAGTCAAACTTTCCATAAAGCTTTTCTTTATGTCATCCTATATGCTGCTACAAATTTTTTCTTTTGTTGTTGTTTTTATTTTTGCACAAACTACTGGTATTTCTTAGGCGCAGGTCTGAGGAATTGTTTAGTACCAATAAGTCCAAATAATGTGTTCTCTGTATTTATTATCACACTTTAGCTTTGGCTTAAAATCTTCCAGCATTTAGAAACAATGTGCCACCTGAGAAGAAGGAATTTTGACAACTAATTTTATCGTTGTTTAATACTCAGCTACAGGATGTCATGTTGGAGTCAAATTTGAAACTTTTAGCATAATTTTGTCATATGAATAGTTTTTGCTAATCATTCTTTTATGTGAAGTTTAGTAGTTTGTCCAATATGAATAATTATCAAATCTGGGACACTTGTCCAAATCATTGCTAGAGTTTGTGATTTCTGAATTTCTGTTACTTGAAATACGACAAAGGATACTTGATTTCTGAATTTCTGATTGTAGCATCTGTATATCTTCTATTGAACAGTTTGAAAGATGGATTCTGGTGTGTAGAACTTGATCTAATACACATCATTTTATTGGAATTTGTGTTGCAGGTATCGTATACAAAGTGATAAGAAAGTTGCAATCTGTAGTGTACATCCATCTGAACAGGCAACATTGCAGTGCCTAGGATGTGTTAAGGCCAAAATACCTATTGCCAAAAGTTATCATTGCTCTCCCAAATGTTTCTCAGATGCCTGGCAACATCATCGTGTCCTGCATGAGCGTGCGGCTAGTGCTGTTAATGAAAATGGAAATGAGGAGGAAGAAATATTTGGGCGCTTCAATGGGACAGGATCTGGAGTAGTCAATGCAAGCTTATCTGTTTCCCAATCAACCCTAGCTTGGCAAATGGCTCAACACCTTTATATCCTGCAGCAGTTACACAGAGGAATGGTGGTGAAACATGGTTTGAAGTTGGACGCTCTAAAACATATACTCCAACAGCTGATGATATTGGCCATGTTCTTAAATTGAATGTGTTGTGGTGGATGCAGAAAACAAAACTACCTGTGGGACATGTTTAATACTATATTGACATCCCGTGT